TTTAAAAAAGCTATACATACCTTTTATGTGCCCTATCTTTAGATACCACATGATGTAAAATTGGTAAAAGTGTTAGTCCATAGGCATGATATAAATTAATGGTGATTTTATAATTATCAGAACATTTGCTTCCCTAAAGCTGCAGTGATAGCACAGTGGTAGGGAATTTGCCTTGTGCGCAGCCAACCCAGCCGAGCCGGGTTCGATTCCTCTGCCCCTCTCAAAGAACCCGTCAAGCTACCAAGAGTATATATTCAATATGCCAAATACAGTAATAACGAGTCTCAAAATGGAGACATTACTGGGCCCGCTCGAGCAAATCGATGAACAATGGGAGGACAGACAAACAGACATCAACTGTGTATATGTGCTACTTGAACTTGACAGATCTGAACTCACATTCCAGCTCTGTCACTCATCCACTGAGTAACTAAGCTTCTTTTTCATCAATGGTAAACCAGGGCTTTTATCAGGATTAAATGATCTAGAAAAACTAAGAAGTGACAGCAAAGCATTTGATAGAAGGTAGAGACTACTCTTTAATCAACAGATTTATTTGTCAGTATTCAGAAGAGAAGTATAGCATACACCTATCTATTAAGTTCTTCAAGACTAGAGCAGTTGTTTGAAATTCCTCTTACGGACTCATTTATCAATTTTTCCATTAAGCTTTAATAGATCAAAGTAAGGACAAAAACACACAATAGGAAAAGTCTGAAGGGAAAAGAAAGTTGTTTGAAATAATTTAATAATAAATGGGGGCCAGGGAGATAGCTCAAAGACTGTGGAAAGTGCTTTGCCTGTTGGGGCGCAAGACTCAGCATCACAGGCTCCTCTGAGCATTGCTGGGAGTGACCCTAACTTAGCCGATTATAGGAGTAGATACTCAGCCTCAGTGGTTAACAGACTATTATTGAAATAAAAAGGATAGAATTAAGCTGTGTCAGGCAGCTGAGGTATAAAAAAAAATTAACAAATTACAAATAGAAGTAGCTGTAATATTTGGCCTGGCTAAGATTAAATGAGCAGGTGGAACGCACAGCAGAAGATGAAGTTCAGAGGTTGTTTGTGACAGTCCTTAACTTTCCTACAGATCTGGATACTTGCCAAGAATTTTAATACACTCAACTTTAATTTCAAATGATTTAGGAGAAGGAGGGTATGCCAGCACAAAAGATTTACATTTTTTAAAATCCCTAGAAGGATTTCAATAGGTTGGTAAGAAAGAAGTAAAAACCTTGTATTTGAGGCCAGGGACAAAGTACCAGGACAGTATATGCAGGGCATGTGCCAACGCAGGTTCGATCTCTGGCACTACATAATTTCTGGAGTGTTTCTGGGTATATCCCTGAGGCTCCTCCTAGCACCTCTGGGGTGACTCCAGAGGTCCCTGACATGAGCTCACTCAAATTAACATCCTCTGGCCCTGGCTCTGAACTTGCCACAGTTTAACCAAGTATAAGCAGGAGTGGACACTGGACCCACTGATGACCATTAGGGAGGCACCCCCACTTTAAGACCCTTTATTGCCCTCATAAAACCCACAGATGAGCCCCTAATGTTATTTCTTGGCTAAAAGCCCTCAAAAATTGGGGCTGGAAACTTCCAGAAGTCAATGAGAAACCCAAGTACATGGGATCTATGATGGCAAACACCAGGCCTCAAGGGATAGGGGATGGGCCAGTCCTTCTCATCTCCCCATCCCTATGGGACCTAAAGGTCACACCCACGAACTACCTCTGGCTGCTATTTGAACTTGTTAACGGACAGGATTCAGAGACATACAAAAGGATCTCAGAACCGAGATTGTTGAGATTGCTCCAGATCCTAATTATCTAAAATTTTAGAATTCCAGGAGCACATGACATCTTATGCTATTCCTATCAAGCAATACAAAATAAATTATCTAGCATCCATCTTTTCAGCAGGTTTGAGGAGTGGTGGGAAAATCCAAAATAATGGTGATGGCACTGGTGTCAAAATATTGAATGCATTCGATTATTGTGAACAACTTTATGAAAATAAAGAAAGAGAGATTGGAGTTGGAATAATATTACAGAGAGTAGAACATTTGCCTTGCATGTAGCAAACACTGATTTGATCCCCAGAATCCCATGTGGTTCCCCACACACCACCGAGAGTAATTTCAAAGTACAGAGCCAGGAGTAACCCCTGAGGATTGCTGAATGTGGCCTCAACAAGAAAATAACAAGATAAAACAAAAAAGCACTCAAAGATTTTCTGATCTACTCAGACTAAAGACCAAAAACCTAACATGCAAAATTTTTCATAATCTGCCTCTGTCAGCTACCAACCCTTTATCTTCCTAAAATTACCTCCCTGTGATGCACCTATTCTCAGCTTGCTCACTAGACACTACCCCCACCCCCACCCTTTGTTTGTTCCACATGAGCATCAAGTAGGCTCTTCAAATTTCTTTGCCTTGGACTAGGTCATTCTTTATTGGTAGTTTCATGACATTTTAAAGACCTGCTTTGACTCTTTAGGATTTAAATGTTATCTTTTTCCTCAAAATCTTTTCTGGACACTCTAGCTAAGTTTTTAGCATCTCATAGTTTATTACTTTACCCCCATTCACTCCTGGATTTGCCCTATTGTGCGTGTTTTGTTCATTTGTGTCTCCCCATGCTATTAGTACAAATAAGTTGTCTCCTTCTACTCATTGTATTACCAGCATCTATAAATTACCCAACAGTGCAAACACTCACTAAAAAGCCTGAATTGATCCGCTGAACATCACCAGGAGTGACCCTGAGCACAGATCCAGGAGTGTGCCCTGAGCACTGCCACAGAGTTAAAGAACATAGACCAGTTGAGAAAAATTTCAAATAATACAAATAAAGTTAAAACCAGAGTTAGAAACAACCACGTCACTGTCACTATCCTCCTGTTGTTCATCGATTTTGCTCGAGTGGGCCCAATAACATTGTGAGACTTGGTGTTACTGTGTTTGGCATATTGAGTAAGTCACAGGTAGCTTGCCAAGCTTTGCTCTGCGAGCAAGATACTCTTGGTAGCTTGTCAGGCTCTCCGACCACATAGTGCAATGAATTTCATTATACAGAGAGAACAGATATTTCTTAAGTTGTTTATTCAAGGAGGAATAATCCATTCTTATGAAATTAATTATGGCTTGGGCATTAAGAAAATTTAGACTCCACACCCCTTGTTTATTGAGTCATGTGTCTCGTCTTAATTTTCATTCGCTTGGTTTAAGATGTTCTTAGTAAACTGAAAGCACAGTTCATTGGCTCTAAAGTCATTCCTGTAGGAAGCTCTTCCAAGCTAAAGATACATGCTGAGACTACTTTGGGTTTCTGTTTTCTGAGGTCTAAGCTAACAACTTAATCCTTATTTTCAGTATTTCTCACCACACACTTAGTAATGTTTACACATCATGTCTAGAAATACAGTTAATCCCTGGCTATGGAGGAGACGTTCAATCAGTTTGAAATCTAGATGTTTAGGTTTACCATTGCCTTCAGCTCTACCTCTTCTTGGCTCTACCACTCTTCAGCATCCACTGACAGTTACTGAACTTAGAAACCAAAATATTGCATTTGTGATTTCATTTTTTTGACCCACAATCCCATAAGGTAACAGATAAATACACTGAAGTTGAAAACACATAGCAAATATCAAAGTGGTATTTTCCAGTTGAAAAATTACCACAGTGGTGTTGTAATACTGAAAGTTAGTTTTTATTCACATATAAAAGTAAATTATAAATATAGTAAGAAGATTATTTTCTGCATATTGCTAATAAAAGTTATATTGTTCATATTTTTATTCTGAGATTGTGCTTTTAAATAATAATATTTAAATGCAGCCAACTTTGTAAAATTGAATCTCTATATATTATCTATATCTTCTGTCAATAATCTAATATTATTGTCCCAGGGTCACAGCTTCCAATGTACAAGAGGTATTCTACAAAATACTTTTGTAGTATTCTTTAATAGTTAAGTATTATTTAATAGTTAAGCTGAGTAGGAGACAAAACGTACGAGCAAAGTCTTCTATATAAAGAAGGGTTATAGATATAGCTCAATGGTAGATATAGACTTTCCATGTATGCATTGTTCCTAGATTCAATTTCCAGCACCAGAGAAATTAATAAACAACTATTAAATCATAATGTCTTGAAATCACTGAAGTTCAGGACACTTCCTTTATACTTATATCAATATTTTCATGCTAAAATCTATTAGGAAGAATGTTCCTTGGTGGAATGTTGACTAGTTCAACATCTTTGGAAAACAATATGGAAAACTCTCAAAAAAATCAAGAATTTAACATCCATACTATCACTTCGTGGTATCTACACCAAGGTACCAAAAGAAAAAAAAATTTTCTAAGGACACTATTCACCATAGTTAAGATCTAAAAACAACCTAAGTTCCAATAAGACCTGACTAGATAAAGGAGTTGTTAGATAGATAGATAGATAGATAGATAGATAGATAGATAGATAGATAGATAGACACATACTTTACTATTAAAAAAGATAAATCCTGCAATTTGCGAACACATTAGAAGACATAATACTGGAGTGAAGTCAATCAAAATGAGTAGATACAGAATGATACCTCTCATATTTGAGATATAAAGAAGCATAGAAAAAGGAAAACCAAATGGCCAAAGTCAATGGAAGTAGATTCTTAGTCTACAAAACTGAGTTTACCTGGAATGGCAGTAGAGGGATTGCAAAAATGGAAGAGAGTGGTATCTTGGACATTGCTGGAGGGAAGGTGGGCACTCTGCTGGTAGGTGTGGTGCTGAAATGATGCATTCATGAAATCATTATTGACAGTAAATCATAGCACATTGATCAAAATGTGGTAGGGGTAGTAGAGTGTTACTGGGGTCACACTTCTTTCAGAATTATATCCAGATCAAAAACCACTTTGTTTCTTATGAATAGAGTCATATGAAAAACAAGAGACTTAGAAAGCAGATGATATTAATGAGCACCGAAAATGATGATTCTTCTGAAAGAAATGATTGGACTTCATATTTTTTTTCTTGTTCTAAGGCCAGCCCGGGTGTCATCGACATCAAGATTCCTGAATCCATTTCTTGTGTGTTTCATTGTTGTTGCTGTGATCGTGATTCTGGCAGTGACTATTGGTCTACTTATCCACTTTCTAGCTTTTGGTAAGTATTAGAAAATAGAAAGTACATATTTCAAAATTTCACTTTTAGGTTAGTATTTAATATACTTTTAAATATTCTTTTAAGCTAGCAGTTTGTTCTCTTTTTATTAACACTATTATTTTTATTATACCATGATAATTTATTTTATATATCCCAAAATATTTGTCCATATATATATATTTTTTCCAAATAGTATGATTTTGCTACTCTTTTTTGTCCTCTATTATTGTACTAAATATTACGAATCAAGCAAAATCATTCTAGCCAAAGAAAACATTATTGATATTTTCCTAATGTTATAATTTTTCTGTTCTATTTTTTCATTGTTATTATTTATCTTCTTTTAATACCTGACAAAATCATAAAGGTAAGATATTGCAAAGAACCCTAAACTTCAATACCTAAAAGTTGTCTATTTCTAGTCTTTGCCAATTTATTATCAGTCTTCTGAAAATAATCTCAGTTTTAGAATAATGATGACAAGAGAAAAATCTGCAATAAAAAGTAAAAATTAGTTAAAACACAACCTTTTTATACAGAAGATACAAGTGTCTAGTTCTTTTCCCTTATCAACATATTTCTGTGCCAAAGATATATATGAATGACCAAAAGAAAGTGGGATTTTTCTTCCATTAAGGTTATATAGATTATGTTCATACTAAAAATGTTTTTATTATGTGCCCAGGAGAGTCTTAGATATATTGTTTAATTCCATCATATAGTTGTATGTGTCCTCTGGAAGATCCTTATTAATGAAAATATTTCCAGTGAACAATCAGATTAGTTATCGCCTTAGAGATTTTTTTTCCACTTTAGTACACATATATTCATGACATATTAAAAATCCCTCTCTAGGTTTTTTCACTTCAAATACTCTTTGAAGTGATTTTGGTGGTGGTTTTTAAAACTAGTCAGAGAGATGAAATCTTGCCATTGGTGACATGGATGGGTCTATGCCTACTGAAATAAGTCATTTGACCAAAGACAAATACCATATTCTTTCATTTAGGTAAAATATAAGCAAAGAAAATTAATAACCTAAACAAAAGATGAGCTCGTTAATACAAATAGCACGTTGGTTGTTTTTAGAGGGAATAAAGAGTTGATAAAGCAGCAGGGAAGAGGAGTCTGGGGTGAAATAAGTAATAAGAAATAACTACTTAGAACCAAGGATGTGAATCGGTGGTAGAACACTTTATTTGTATGTACAAAATATTGTGTTATATAGAACTACTGTAGGTCACTCCTTAATAGTGGTAAATTAATTGTAGCATAATATAGGTGTAATATTGTACCATTTTATATATCTTTAACACTTCCAGCATTTCCAAAACTGAGAGAACAATTTTTAAAAACTGAAAGAGTAATTTAATTGTAGTTACATTTATATAAATTTTAGTGTAATATTTTTCTCCTTAAGGGAAACAATTTTGGGGGTAAAATTTTTTTTAGAAAAATGTAAAAGATGGGGAGAAAGGGGAAGGGAAAGAAGGAGATAGGGGAAAGATATGGAAAATAGAGAAGGAAGGAAAGAGGGAAGGAGGGAAGGAGCGAAGGAAGGAAAGAAGGAAGGAAGAAGGAGATGGAAGGAAGGAAGGAAGGAAGGAAGGAAGGAAGGAAGGAAGGAAGGAAGGAAGGAAGGAAGGAAATAATGGATATAAATAAAAGCAAAATTAATATTAGAAAGGAAGAAAAAAAGACCTATAGTTGATGCTGGCAGAGAACATGTATTTAAGAGAAAGAAGTTTTTAATTGTGTTAATAGATCATTTTGTAATTCTGAATAAACTAAAGATTAAACTACTTAGTAATGTGATATTGATCTGCATTTCTTTATTTTACAGATCAAAAATTTTACTTTTACCATGGCGATGTTCACATTTTAAATGTTCAATATGGTGATCAGTTAAATTCACCAGCTACACAGGAATATAAGATTTTGAGTAACAAAATTGAATCACTGGTAAGTTAATATTGGTCTTCACCATTTTGTAATTACCATCGAAAGGCCAATAAGATTGTAAAGCAAATATTTTGTGATACATTTTTTATTTCTAGATGTATTATATATTTATCTTCCTTGAGAAAGGAAAGATGTTTTCATTACTTCTACTTTTGATAGCTTTTTAAAAATTCTTTTCATGTTTTCCTCTTTCCTTTTTCTTAGCAAACTAAACACACAGAAAATAGATGATAAAAGGCATATTAACATGTTAGAAATAATTAATGAGATGAAAACATCACACTTTGCTTCAACTAAGGATAAAAAAAGAACATAAAACAAGCTTAGGCATTCATGTAAAGAGACCTGGGTTTCCTGCCAGGAAATCTTCCACATGAATCCTCTGGATTCATTTGCAAAATAAACCAGGGTCTGGCTCTGGGCAAAATCAAATTTGACCAGTCTCAGAGATGCTTATTTATTCTACTTATTTTAGGGGCCCTGGGGATATAAATTAAGTTTATGATTCTAAATTAATAACTTGTAAGATAATCACCTGAATGTTGTACCTGAATATTACATTGAAATAGGTTTTCTTCTTTATTTTTTCCTTTTTTTTTTAATCCAGCAATGCTCATGATTTACTCCTTGTGGGGGGCAGGAGAGGGGGAAGTATAATATGCATTTTTACCTAGAGCCAAAGAGTAGCAAGTTGCAAGAAGACTGCATAGTGACAATGGAACTGGAACAAGAAGAAAGTTAGGTGGATCATTATTTGATGAATTAGGAATAAATAGTTCGTTCAAAATTATTTGGGAAGAAAATTTAGGCCAGGAAACAGAGGTAAAGTTAATATTACAGAGTATCAGTTTATAATATTATATTAATATTAAATTTAATATTACAGAGTATCAGAATTAGTACTCATCAAAAAAAATCCTTCATCAAAAGATTTATTAAGCATCAATTGTCCAAATGACTGAATTTGCAAGTAAAGGGGATACTGTTCTCTTAGAGCTTAATGTAACATGGAAATTAGATAAGCCTGTGGATCCTTACCAGAGGACTGATGGTGCCTATGCCTTGCCTATGCCTATGCCTTGCATGTTGTGAAGGGCTGGGCTCTATCTCTTAACACTACCAGGAGTAATCCGGCAGCAGAGTCAGAAGGAGTGAGCACACCCAGGTATGGCTCATAAAGCAAACAAAAGTTAAACGATGATTATTTCAACATACCTTGAGACACATGTATGTGTGTATATATGTTTGTATTTGTATAAAATTATAATTATTTTAAGGAAAAGAATTGTGGACCAGAACAATACTATAGACAATAATGTGCTTGCTCTGCACATGTCCAGTCTGGCTTGAGCATAGCCAGATGTGAGAAGGAAGGGAAGGAGGGAGGGAGAGAAAGAGGAAGAAAGGGAGGAAAGGAGCAAAGGAGGGAGGGAGGAAGGAAAGGGAAGAGGGAAGGAGAATAGGAAAGAAGGAAGGAAGGAAGGAAGGAAGGAAGGAAGGAAGGAAGGAAGGAAGGAAGGAAGGGAGGGAGGGAGGGAGGGAGGGAGGGAGGGAGGGAGGGAGGGAAGGAGGGAGAAAGCAAAGGAAGGAAGGAAGGAAGGAAGGAAGGGAGGGAGGGAGGGAGGGAGGGAGGGAGGGAGGGAGAAATTAAAGGAAGGAAGGAAAGGAGGGAGGAAAGGAGGGAGGGAGGGAGGGAGGGAGGGAGGGAGAAAGCAAAGGAAGGAAGGAAGGAAGGAAGGAAGGAAGGAAGGAAGGAAGGAAGGAAGGAAGGAAGGAAGGAAGGAAGGAAGGAAGGAAGGAAGATTTGATCTTCCATCTCAGAGTAGCTCACAGAACAAGTCCCAATTCTCTACTGTGAAGCTGACCATCACAAAGGGTCATTCTTGATGTGACTGGGCAATGATTTATCAGATAGCTAAGGTTAGGTGAGGAAGTTACTAATCATGCTCAAATAATCTCTAATACTTAAATATTAATCAAAATAATAATTAAAAATCACTTTTTCATTTTAACTGCTTCTCTTCTATTCATACAAATATTATAGTATTTTAAATAGTTGTTGAGGCATTTCACAATATAAGTAATATCTGAAGGCTCCCTAGTGCTGCCTTGGCTCCTGTATAATTTTCTTGGGAATAATCACAAATCAAACAGCATTTTGTGATGAGTGAAATACCAGATGTGTTTAGAATAGTTTCTAATGAGAATGTGTCATATTCACTATCAATTTTGCACAAAAAAGTGAAGAAATATGCACAGAGCAGAGGCTTAAATAACCTATCTAAATAAGTCCCGTGAATTCTGAGACAGACCTAAAGCAAACTAAAAACTCAGGTCTTTATCCCTCATTAACATAAACCCCAGGTTGCAAGGCTAGAAGGAATAAGGAAAACCTATAATTACAGACAGGATTTTTCTTTCCTTCTGCAGCTTACTAAAACATTCAAAGAATCAAATTTAAGAAATCAGTTTGTTAGAGCTCGTGTTGTCAAACTAAGGTAAGTGAAATCACAAATTAATGAAATATAAGTACAAATGCAATTTGGTCCATTTGATTTGTTCACAGAATAAATGCTAAGGAGATCTTCATGTTTCTGGAAAATTTTAAAATATGCGTTTCTGGAAAATTTTTAAACTAATATCACGGGTAGCATTAAAACCAATGCTAGAAATAACTAAAAGCAAAATAAATCACATGTGATCCATTTACTGTAATGTAAATATTACAGTGTTACTTTAGAAGAAGTGAATCGTTGCTTTTTCACTCTGGAGAAGCCCATGTTCCCTCCTGAATATGTCTCTTCCTCTCGCACTTCTCTAAGTAAATTTTTTTTTCAATAAAAACTATTTTGCTTTAATAAAAACAAGGAAGAAAATGATGAACAGAGATTTGTATTTAAGATATGGTAGCAGTCCTATTTACTGCATATATTCAGGAGATAGTATTCACAGTGCAGTTTAGACAGTGCCTGTAAGAAGTTGTACAATATCATGGTTCTGGGCATATTCATCCAAGATTAGAATACTAGAACCCACATCGAAAGGAGTTTATATTTTTCTTTATTCTTTTTGGCCACGATAACACAACGGTAGGGTGTTCGCCTTACAAGCGGCCAACATGGCCAACCCGAGTTCGATTCCTCCGCCCCTCTCGGAGAGCCCGGCAAGCTACCGAGAGTATTCGATATGACAAACACAGTAACAACAAAGTCTCCAATGGATCTGTTACTGGGCCCGCTCGAGCAAATAGACGATCAACGGGAGGGCCTTTTTGGCCACACCCGGAAATGCTCAGGGGTTACTCCTGGCTCTGCACTCAAGAATTACTCCTGGTGGGGCTCAGGGGAACATATGTGATGCCAGGGATCAAACCCAGGTCGACCGCCTGCAAGGCAAATGCCCCTCCAGCTGAATTATCCGCTCCGACCCCTAGAGAATTTTTCTACCCTTGTCTTCTCAGAGTATTATAACATAAAATATTCTGTGCAGAAAATATAAGAATGACTCACAAATTATAAAGAGTGAGAGGGAAAAGAAAGAGATGTTATTTGACCTAAGTGTTATTTGACCTCTTAAGTTTCTTTGTTATTTGACCCAAGTGTCTTTATTGAATATGAGCCTATCTTGGACCAGAGTGATAGTAGAATGGGTAGGGTGCTTACTTTGCACATGGCTGACGTGCTTTTAATCTCTAATACCCCATATGGAACCCAAGCACCACCAGGAGTGATCCCTGAGCACAGAGCCCTGAGTAAATCCTGAACACCACTGGGAGTGGCCCAGAAACAAAACAACAACAAAAAGATAATATGAACACTTCCATGCAATGAAATAGACTTTTACAACTAAAAAAGTCTTCCTGAGGCTGGACAGGTAGTGTAGCAGGTAGAGCTCTTGCTTTGCACTCTGCTGACCAGGATTTGATCCCCAGCATCTCATGTCATGCCCCAAACACCACCAGAAGTAATTCCTGAGTGCAGAGCCAGGAGTAACCCAGAGCACTGCCTGGTGTGGCCCCCAGAAAAGAAAAATTATAAGTAAATAAATAAGTAACGTAGTCATCCTTACTGATCAGCCATAAATACCCAGATGCCACATTGATTAATCTTTTAAATGTACAAACAGTTATGTGAATGTAAGGTAAATTAGACTTATCCTTTTTCAGATAATAACAACTCAAGAAAAATTTATTGTATTTAATTCTTTGTAGAAACTCCTAATAAGTACAAGTATAGATCACTGCTACGATAAGTGTCATTGAGAACCAGGAAGTATCCATGGAAAAATATTTTCAAAATGAATTTGCATCATTTCAGTGAATAACTGTCTTAATACATTGCTAAGACCTCTGTATTAACCATTAGCTCCCCTAACTTATAGGACTAAATGAGCCCTACAGGATAAAGGATGCCTTCTCATTTTGTTTATTTCTTACTGTTCAGTCAAGGACTATTGGGCTTCTGATTCCATCACAAAATTTTAATACTGAGGCCATAGAGATAGTGCAGTGGGTACGGTGATTGCCTAGCACGCAGCCCACCTGGAGTTCAAATCTAGGTATCCTATATGGTCTGTGCTCCACTCTCAAACCCCAACCCAAGTACCAGCAGAACTTCTGAAAGCCAGTCCCTGATCATTGCTGGGTGCGGCACAAAAAATGAAAAAAGAAATTCTAACTACTTTTGTTAGATCCAAAAATAGTATACAAATTACAAACTTGAAAGAAACCAGATCCGTTCTCTTAAGCTCTCAAAGAGATATGGACTTTTCATTTCCTCCAAAAAATAGTGCCATCCAGTGGTTTCTATGAACCTAGCACCCTGATTTTCCACTTCAGTTAACTTCTTAATTGATTTACTAACTCTTACTTCTCTGTACATTCCTCAAACTTTGGTACCAGGAATCAAATCAAGTAGAGCATTGTGCAAGCTATGCACCCTAACCACTATATTATATTCTGGGCCCTCAATTTCTTTATTTAATTTCTATAAATTTCTATATTTTTTTCACCAGATTTCAAGAGTAACACTTTTTGCTATACTTTGATCTGAAAAAATGTTCTTATTTTAGCCTTATTATTAAGGACTGTTTTAGTAAGTGTATCAAATTCTAAGTTTTTGGCTATTTTCTCTGATCTCTCTCTGAAAATACAATTATATACCTCTTTCCTTTGTTGCTATTAGGAGATTGTCTCACAAAAAAAAAATCATCTTTGGTAACTAGTCTTTCTCTGTGATTTGAAGTGCTATTTGTTTACATATATGTATTTTTTTTATTCAACTGCTTCAGATTTATTGTTACCTGAAGCTTATGTCTTTATCAATTCTGGATAATCATCATCTCTTGTATTAGTGCTTCTACTTTACTTTCCTATGTTCTCCTTCAGCACTGTATCTAGTGAACACTGAAACAATTGCTGTATCTTAAGCTCTGCTTACATTCTATAGCTGCGTTAGAACCCATCAAATTTCTTCATATTTATTCTTAACTGCGGTATGTTTCCTTCTGTATAGATTCCATTTGTTTTTTTCAAAATTATATCTTGTCCTTTTTGTAAAATGTTCTAAATGTCTCTATACCTATATATAGTAAAGATTTCTTTCTTTAATATCATTAATCATTTCAAATACTCGTCTATTACTTTTCTTATATAAAGTTTTTTTGAGAATTCTCTCTTATTCTACTGATTCTAACTCATAATATTAATTTTTGTCATTAAGTCACATGATTAAAACCTTTAATTCCACCCGATAAGTAGAATCCTATGCAGTTTGCATGACACAGTACCTCCAGAGCATTTATTCCTTACCACGCACCTTAGGCAGATCAACAAGATAAGAACGATTCTTGCTTAATTTCTTAGCTTTAAACTTCTGGGGTCATAGAGGTAGCATATACAAAAGTGCACCAATATGAATTCTTGGTAGAAAAATAAAAATAATCTTATTATTCCCATTTGTAATTAAATCTTTGAAACAGACTTCTTTACTCTTATCTTACTTTATGAGATAATTAGCCATTTTTCTTTTTATTTTTCTTAAAGTTTATTTAACAATCTTTTTTTGTGTTGTTATATTTATTTATTGAATCACTGTGGGAAAAGTTACAAAGCTTTCAGGTTTAAGTCTCGGTCATACAATGATCACACACCTTTCCCTTCATCAGTACTTATTTTTCACCACCAAGAACACCAATATGCCCCCCTCCCACCCCTCCCAATGCCTATGAGGCAGATGATTTCTACTTAACTCTCTCTCTACTTTGATTTACATTCATTGTTTCGACAAAAGATGCACCATTGTTGTTAAGAGTTTCCACCCAACAATCAGAACTGCTGAGAAGGCATTGTGAAATAATTTGTTTTCTATAGCTGATTATGAGAACCATATGAGGCGGCCACCCGACTTTGGATTTCTGATATTTTACTAATTAAGTCTGGAGAAATTTCTGCCAAGAGCCAGGTAATTGCGAGATTTGTTTCTGTGCCTCTGGAACCATGGCCGTGCCGGAGAGTCACTCATGAAGGACAACTCGTGGCTTCGGTAGGGCATGAAGGACGAGCCAGTACCGCCCCCCTTCCCTTAAGGCTGCAGTTGCCCCATCACTGCCGGCTCATACCTGGTTTTCCAATAAGCTCTGAGGCAGCAGCGACTTTGCTGCCCTTGGGAGTGGGGGAGAGGCGGAAGGGAGAGACACCCTTTCCCTCCCGGGGAGGCATGGTGCCATAGTTTAATACATAGTCTATTCACTTTTCTGTGGCAAGCTGCCGGGCTCTGCATTAATTCCTCATGCCTCTGGAGCCATGGCCTTGCCACAGAGCCACTTATGAGGGGCCTATATAACAATCTTAATCCTTTTCCGAATGCCCATATCATTCCTCCAAATTTTCACTAATCAGAATACCAGAGTCCTCATCTCCAGTCTCATATAAATGTCAAAAGTCAATCTTTTTAGATATCCTTAGATATCCAAGTGCTTACTACAAATTATTTATGTTCTTCATTTTTAATACTCTGAAACTTCCTTTTCACATAAAACTCAGCTTTGTATTTCAATTCATTTTATTACATTTCATCCCCACTTTTGGTTATTTTATATAAAAGGTAAAAAGGTAAAGGCCCTCCTGTTGATCGTCGATTTACTCGAGCAGGCCCAGTAACGTCTCCATTGGAGACTTTGTTGTTACTGTGTCTGGCATATTGAATACTCTCAGTAGCTTGCCGGGCTCTCCGAGAGGGGCCGAGGAATCAAACTCGGGTCGGCCACGTTGGCCGCTTGTAAGGCGAATGCCCTACCGCTGTGCTATCACTCTAGCCCAGTTATTTTATAGGAAGAAATTATTTAGACTACATGTTTTTAAAAATAGAAATTATAATTATTCTGTCTGCTTCTCAATCTAGGTTCAAGATCTATGAAAGAAACAACTGTTTATCTTATTCATAGTTAACTTCCAAAACAAAGCATAGTGCTAGCTTAAGATTATTCTTATTTAATATTTAAGTGAATATTAGATCAAGATCAGAAATGAATATTTAGAATTGTGAACAGAGGAGAAAAGTAGAAGAATATGAGATGATCATAACCAAATTGCTAATGTATGTTTTCAGAAAAGAAAATGTGAGGTAGAGAAAGTGTTTATGTGGAAATGAGTGACAATTACTTATATTTTAAATAATTTTAGCTTTTATTCACACTGTCAAATTCACATTATTATGAGTAATAATTGTGCTTAATTGAAATGCGAACTAAAATCTTAACATATTGCCATGAAAGTTTAAGTTTTCCTTTTACGCTCAGATGAATGGTTATAGGTATCATAAAATTAACTAACTCCCCTAAACCAAATGAATTTAGAATCTCATCCTTTTATAAAGTTTAATGAGATGTGAGGAGTTTCTTTAAAGATTTTTGAATTCTAATATAACTAATACTTACCATGTATTTAGAGCATGCTGTAAACATTTCTTAAAAGATTTATTCAGGGACCAGAAAGCTAGTACAATGCATAAGATGCTTTGCTTATATCAACTGACCCAGTTTCAATTTCTAGTATATGGACTCATGAACAAGGTCAAGAGTGATCCTTGAACAGAGGCAGAATTAAACCCTGAGCACAGCTGGGTGATGCCCAAAATGAAACAAACAAAAAATATACACATATTAGTTTATATAATCTTAATAACAACCCATTTTACAAGTAAGGAAGCTTAGATATAGCTAGATTGAGAAATTTAAATAACCTACCAAGCATCAAATGTATAAAGGCAGAGTTGAGAGTCAAATTTCATCTAATTTCAGAGTGAGTTAAATTGAATGGTTGCTATAGAATATTATACATTGAGATCACATTTTGGGGATAATATTTAATTATGTATATGGAAACACTGTTGTATAAATCTTTTCTAAAGTTCATTTCCTAAAGTAACTTTTAAAAATGTTTAATAAAGAAGGTCATAACAAGGGCTGGAGTGATAGGACAGCGGGTAGGGCATTTGCCTTGCATGCAGCCTAACAGGGTTCGATTCCCAGCATCCCATATGGTCCCCTGAGCACCGCCAAGAATAATTCCTGAGTGCAGAGGCAGGAGTCACCTCTGAGCATCGCTGGGTGTGACTCGCCCCAAAGAAAAGGTTGTAATAATTAAAAGACAAAAAATTTCATAATTACATATTCTTTAAAATATCTATGTTTTTTAGGCAAACTGATAGTGGTGTGATAGCAGATATTGTCATGAAGTTTAAATTCAGTAGAAATTTCAATGGAGCATCAATGAAGAGCAGAATTGAGTCTGTCTTGAAACAAATGCTGAATAACTCTGGAACTTTGGAAATAAACCCTTCAACTGAGATAAAACGCAAGTAGTATATTTACATATAATTTCCAATCAATATATTCCTCAAACAGTCCTAATTCCCATTTTAAATTTTCTGAGACCAGTATTTTACTATTAGAATTAAACTTTTGAAAGCAATATTTAAAATACATAGTATCTAAAACTCTAATATTAAAAAATAAAATGAAAAGAATCATTTAGCAATCATAGTAAATTTTGTTAAAATTTATTGACTTTTTCCCTCTGAACAACTATTCATAAAAGCTTTTGTTGTCATATGTTCAAGCTGTAGATAAATTTCTTGTAATGGTAAGTAGCTGCTTGATGCAGAGAAAAAAAATTAAATGATAATTCACTTTATCAAGAACAGAGGCTGGCACACTACTGGAAGGTATCTGACAATTATCAGTAGAACAAATTAGAAAATTGGATTAAATAACATCATTATTTCCTCTCTAAAATTCCTCTTTTGAGCCTGTCTTGAACCTGTTTCCTTATTTTCTATCATTACTCCCACTCTTATTCAAGTTAACACCATTTCTTTATATATATATATATATTTAATGAATCATTGTGAGATACAGTAACAAAGATTTCATGATTGAGTTTCAGTCGTACAATGATCGAGTACCTAGCCCCCCACCCAGTGTACATTTTCCACCACTAGTATTCCTCCTACCACCCTCACCCTCATCCCCCCCAAGCCCCCGCCTCTATGGCAGAAAATTTCCTTCTGACTCTCGACTTTTAGGCATTATGGTTTGTATGTTCATACTTTTATAACCCTTCCAAACCTATTGCACACATACTGGTCAATGAAACATTTTTTAAAAACTAATTTAACATTTGACTTAAAAACCTCCCATGGCTGCACGTAAATAAAAATTAAAATTTTAAATCAAAATCTGTATTTGGAATATCATTTTCCCTAGTTCCCCCAGTGCAGTTCTAGTTCATGCTGTCAGTTATTATTAATATTACTCTCTGAATCTTATTTTGAACATGAAATGAAGTGGCTACTGTATCTGGTTTGTATTCAGCCTTCTAGAAACTCGTTGTGCTGCTCACTTCCTCATTTAGCATTTCCAGGTACACTGATTTTCTCCATCTGCCAGTTTCCTCTCCTTCCTGACTCGGGACCTTTCCCTATAAACATTTGCTAAGTTCTTATTACACTTCCTAGATTACTCCCTAGTACTCTTCAGGTCTCAGTTGAATCATTATTTTCTAATGTAAGTTTTTTCTAACTTTCATTACTGAATCTGCACAAACTTTTTCATTTTTCCTTTATAACATTATCACTCTTGGAGAGCCCGGCAAGCTACCGAGAGTATCTCGCCTGCATGGCAGAGCCTGGCAAGCTCCCCATGATGTATTCGATATGCCAAACACAGTAACAACAAAGTCTCCAATGGAGACGTTACTGGGCCCACTCGAGCAAATCGATGATCAATGGGAGGGCCTTTACCTTTTACCTTACCTAACATTATCACTAATTATAACATTAGTGAGATTTTTAACTTTGAATTGTTTTTTTATCCTATTCCTAAATGTGAGCCAATCTGCTTCATTCAACCTTTTGTTCTTCTGCTACCCTTCTAGTATATAATAGATATTTGTTGTATGACTAGAAAAAAAAGGTCTTAATAATATGCATTGATATTCACTGCACATTAAAGATGGGCCTCTGCCTTTTCATGTCCTGCAGCTGAATTAGTCATTTGTTTTCTCATAATATATTCTTCTATTTGATTAGTAATGAAGACTTGTAATCTGCATTTTACCTGAAGTCTAAATAATTCTAATTATGGTTTTCTGAGTTTTCTAATTTAAGCAATTCAGGACTGCATGCCATTTTACTTTATTGTATTGTTCTTAATCTTAATTTTTTTTCTTGACACCAGCTATTACTGATGAGGAGACAGTAAATATTTTCACTCAAAGTAAGTTTTTTAATTATTTAAAGAATATGGTTTATCAAAATATAGAATAAATGTCAAAGTTAATTGTTCTGGTTGTTGCTGCTATGTCTAGTAACTTACCTTTATTCTTATTTTACTCATATTTTGTTGTTGAGATAAGACACTACCAGTTCCACTGGCCCATGGAATAATATTTAGGCTTATCTTTACTTTTAAATTAAGGAAAAAGTTGCAGTGATGGGCATTTTATCCACACTAGTTTGACAGTGTGAAATTTTCTTGACAATTTTGAGAAGATTTTTCTTGCTCTGATTCTGTGGTGGCATTTTGTAGGCTTAAAAATTATTATTTTGTAGCACCACTTACATTATTTCTCATAACCACAAGAATATTCCTTTTTGTTATAAAATTTAATCTACAAGACAATTTTTTTAAAAAATCAGGGTCCAGGGACATAGTTATTGGATTAGGAGTGCATGCTTTGTATGTTCAAGGCCTGGAATTCGAGCTCCAGATTAGCCAAATACCATCAGGGATTGGCCCCCTAGGCTTCTGAGAACTGTTTGAAAGAACACTCCCAAAAGTTGTTAAAATTCTTGTCAATTTTAGGTCTGTAACAAAAAGAAAAAATTATACATTAAATAAATACTACATTCAAAATATTTTTAATGTAGAGTGCTCTCAAACTATAACATGACAAAAAAGATTCCTGAAAAATATCTGTTTACTTCTCTAACAGAATGTAGTTAAAATAAATTCAGTGTAGTTGAATAAATGACCTGTGTCCAATTTTACAAATCCATATCATATATTATGGAGAGTTCCTTCATCTAGTTAATTAGCACATCTATAACCTAACATTTTTAGTGAAAAACCATCATTCTACAGTCTGTAAATATCAGTTATACAATATAATATTCTGCAATCACTATGTTATATGTTAGATCCTTAGACTTTAGTCATCTGGTAGTTTATGTCTCCTTAAACTTTTCTACCTGTGACTCTTTAAGTCCAAGAAGTACAGCATAGGCAAGTACTATGGGAAACTCCCAGAATTCTTTACATAATTTATTTTGAATTTATTTTGGCCATTAAAATATTCAGAGAATGTTTACTATTGACAACCTTTTTTAACCTCTCCCAATGTTACACGACCCTGCATGGGGTCTTGAGCACAATTTAAGTTAGGTTAGAGTTGAAAGTTTGTACCCTTTCACCAAACTCTATTTTTCACCACTCCTAAATTCTAAAAACATTGCATATCAATCATACTTTTTGAAAAACTAAAATGGTCCTGAAGAAGAATATATAAAGGACATAAAAGTCAAAAGCCCAGCTACAGGTGAGTTTATCCAGAAACTGTGGTATATGTACACAATGGAATACTATGCAGCTCCAAGAAAGAAAAATAATCACGCACTTTGCAGAAACATGAATGGATATCATGCAGAGTAACATCAGTCTGAAGGAAAGGGATAGATATAGAATGATGTCTCTTTTATGCGGGACTCAAAGATACACAGCAAGGTAGTGACAAAGATCCAAAAGCAACATGCAACATAACAGGGGAACTGACACACCACTGAGTTGGGGGGAGGGGTGAGAAGAAAGGGACTGGTTTCCTAGTTGTGGGTGTGGTGTTAGAATTGTGTCTATGAGAAACCATTATTAATAGTATTGCAAACAAAACATTTAAAAAAATTTTAAAGTCATAAATAATTAAGACACTCTTGTGCGTCTTTCAAATGCAAATTAATCATGATCTTCTCACCAAACTGATCCCTTTTCCAAGCATCATGTGGGGCTCGACCAGATCTACTGACGTTGTCAGAGGAGAGGATCATTGGAGGCACCAAGGCTCAGGAAGGAGACTGGCCTTGGCAAGTGAGTCTCCGACTGAATAACGTTCACCACTGTGGAGGCATTCTCATCAGTAACAGCTGGATCCTGACAGCAGCTCATTGTTTTAGAAGGTGAGGTCTCATCTACTTATGTGGAAACAACTGGATGATACTTAACAGAATTATATCTATATCCCCAGGATTTGGTTATAATTGAATCCAGTCAGAAATAATTCAATGCAAAAAATTCCTTTTCATGATAAAATATATTCTTTCTCTTTCACTTTGCTAATGTAGACACTCCTTCTTTGATGTTACAATGATTGTTGAGAAGAAAACAATAAAGTTTCAGGGAAGGGTTGGATGTCTAGACATATCATATTACCATATTTTTTTAAAGTCCCTTCCTATAATAGGACTTTAGACTTCAGTGTGACTAAAACCTGTTGAGACCTGTGTTATTACTGGGGCATCCAGACTTGAAAAATCACTGAGAACTTATATGAAAAGTTATTTCCAGGAAAAAATGATGATCTGTATGTTTCTAGTCTCTTTTCAAACTCTTTCAATAGCTACTACAGGAAATCCAATCTTCTTTCTGCACACCTAAAATCCTCCTGTCTGAACATTTCACGTGTATGCCTCAAAGTATGATTGTTGAGTTCCCATCAAATAATATTATTTTCTTCCCTTGAACTCTGCCTTTATTTTTCACTTCAAAGTATTCACTCAATTCCCTAAAATTTTTGTATCCCTTACAAATACAATTACAAAAATATTGAATATTTCATTTTTAGACACTCTGATCCTCGTCAGTGGACTGCCGCCTTTGGTATTTCTACAAGATTTCCTAAACAGAGAATAAGAATACGAACAATTCGAGTTCACAACAATTACATTTTTGCAACTCACGAAAATGATATTGCAGCTGTGCAACTTGACAGAAGTATTGCATTTACCAAAAATATCCATAGAGTGTGTCTCCCAGATGCTACTCAGAATATTCCACCTGGTTCCACTGCATATGTAACAGGATGGGGATCAAAAAGATACACTGGTAAGTGTCTCAAGAAAAATCAAACAAAAACCTCTTAGTATTTGTTATTATGTATCACTGTATCACTCTCCTCCCATTGTTCATTTATTTGCTCCAGCTGGCACCAGTAACATGTCCATCCTAAGACTTGTTACTGTTTTTGGCATATCGAATCCAACAGGAGCAGCTTATTGAATCCGACAGGAGTAGCTTGCCAGGCTTTGCATTGCTTGTGGGATACTCTCAGTTGCTTGCTGGGCTCTCTGAGAGGGGCAGAGGAATTATACCTGAATCAGCCACCTACAAGGCAAATGCCCTATCCACTGTGCTATCACTCCAGCCCTTGTTATTATTATGTACTTTTTAAAATTAGCCCATAAAGTTTCAAAAACAGAATCATTATGTAATCTGATCTATGTGACCTTTGATTATTTCACATTTTCTTTTTCACCCCAAATTTGATTTTATTAAAGCACCATGAATTACAAAGTTAGTCATACTTGGGTTTTTGACATAAAATCCTCTATCATCAATCCCATCACCACTGTCAACTTTCCTCCACCAGATTCCCTCTCAAACTCAGCCCCAGCCTGCTATCACGACAGACATTTTTAAGTTTGGTTACTAAAGTCTGGATTTCAGTGTTGTTGAACCTGTGCTTTGGATGTTTAGATCTATCATTCCTTAACACCACTGATATTCCTGAACCCCCCTTAGCCCCGGCCCCATTGCTTCTCATCTGTCTCTTCTCTGTTTCCCTATCACCCTTTTTCTTTCCTCATCTGTATATTCCTACATTTCCTGAATAAAGCACAATGACACACCTAGAAAGTACAGGGAATTCCAAAAGCAAAGTAATAAGGAAAGTGAAAGAAGTAACAGAGATTCTTCCATGATCCTAAAACATAGTAGGATTTGAAACATTTTCCTACAAAGAACTTAATAAAATATTTTACACAGGTATTTTCTAAGGACTTTAACATCCTTTTAATAATATCAACAGCTTCTGACATTCTCAGATAGTAAATAAATCCTGCCTCTAGATCAAGAAACCGTGAATACATAAGCACTGCTCACACTTGTTGAATAGATAAAATAGAAACAGATATGATGACAATATGAAGGAGAAATAGGGACAAGGAAGAAAATAAGAGCAACAGTCAGGGAGTGGAAATTTAAGATTAATAATTTACACAGACATTTTGTCATTTACAGAATTGTATTCTACATATTGTGGTTTTTCCAAGACCATGATATGAAGACTTAACTGTCCTAGAAAATACTCCATTGTTTTCTAGTGACCTAAATTGATGTGGTGTTTTAGATAAATTTGAGCCAATCAAACAAACATCATTACTATTTGAAGGAGATAGGTGGAAAACAGATTGATGCATCAAAGCAGACATGGCTTCTCTTCGGTTGCAGATTAAAGATTACTCAAAACCAGCCCTCAGTGCTTAGGCCCTTAAGTAATTTTAATGCTACTAGTCAATTCTAGGTAGCAACATTAGTTTTTTGTTTCCTTCTTTTTAGGTCTAAAGGCATCGTATCACAAAGCTAACATAGAAAATGAGGGAGGGAAAGTGAAAGAGAAGGGAGGAAGAGAAAAAGGAGAGACAAAGATTAGTCCTCTGATCCTTCTAACTTACCCATTATCCATCCTCTACTATCAGATACTTTCCTGAGAAGAAACCCCTAGGTTTGTTTTCTATAGACTTCTTTATCTAACTTTTTTTGTTAATATATTTATTCCTTCCCATATATACCACTGTCATTAAATTTCATATCCTAAAGTTTGTTTTCTCTATGCTGTTATGTTTAACAGGTAGCACAGTCCCAGATCTAGAACAGGCACGTGTCTACATAATAAGTAATGAAGCATGTAATGCACCATCTATGTATAACGGAGCCATCTCACCTGGAATGATATGCGCTGGAGTACCTGAAGGTGGAGTAGATGCATGCCAGGTAAATTCAAGACACAGTTATCCGTGTCATCAGCTAAATTGCAAGTATTTACTGGCATATGATATGGTGAGGCTCATAATTATAATACACAGCTCTGACTTCCTAAAAATTTATAATCTAGATTTTAAAGATGAAAATTCTTTTATGAAGTTTTTCTGTCATGAAAACATTAATTCTGAGAAGACAAACTGCAGAGTGGTTAGCCATCCATGACTAAGAAACAGACAGACGGAGGTTTGAATTCCTTAGCTCTATAATTAATCTTTTATGATAGCACAGTGGTAGGGCGTTGTTGTAGTGGTTGTGCTCAGGCAGCCCGGCAGAGCCAGGTTTGATTTCTTCGCCCCTCTAGGAGAGCCTGGCAACCTACTGAGAGTATCTCACCCACACGGCAAAGCCTGGCAAGCTAACCTTGGCGTATTCAATATGTCAAACACAGTAACAAGTCTCAAAAATGGAGACGTTCATTGGTCTGCTCGAGCAAATCAATGAACAATGGGAAGACAGGACTATCTGTAAAATGAGGAAATAAAAGAACATCCAACTTCAACTAGTTTTTTTTACTATCACTAAAGATTAGGTCGAGATGATATATGTCAAGTATATACATATATATATATATATATATATATATATATATATATCTGCACTGTTCTCCCATTGTTCATCGACTTGCTCGAGCGGGCACAAGTAATGTTTCCATTGTGAGACTTGTTTGTTACTGTTTTGGCATATCGAACACGTTACGGTTAACTTGCCATGCTTTTGCCGCAGCTGTATGGGCGATACTCTCGGTAGCTTGTAGCGCTCTCTGAGAGGGGAGGAGGAGTTGAACCGGGGTCAGCCCGGGTCAGCTGCGTGCAAGGCAAGTGTCTTGCCACTGTGCTATATATACTAAGAAGAAAAGAAATCTCAGTCATTTTTACTGTTAATTTTTTGTACTCCATATATGAGCACTAACATTAATAATTTTAATCTTAAATTTAATCACTAAAAAGAATTAAATAAAAATGTAATGCTTATTTTATAAGCATAAACAATATTAAAATATGGTAACACCCAAATATCAGCAACTCAAATATAGAAAAATTGCATATAAGCCTAATTCCTTAAATCACAATAAACCCACAGTTGTAAAACTGCAGAAATAAAAAAAAAACCTAATATCTTCATATCTAACCTGCAATTTCAAATAAACATACAGAAGCAAATATAATAATACATTTTACTTTACTCTTGATAGCAACTGTCGTAATTTATTTCACCAGCATACTCTTCCTTATAATTTTTATCATAGTTATTCCAATGTACCTGGCAAACCACTGCTGAATACTGAGTCAGTTAAAATATGAGAGCACCATTTAAGTAACTCTTTCAGTTCATCTTTTTTATTTTTTTAAATTTATTTTATTGGGATAGCATCAGTTTATAATACCATATATTTTAGTAGTACAATTTCATACATCTTATCATCTCATTTCTACATTAGACAAACTGGCAGGCTACTGAATGTAACCTACCCACATGGCAGAGTCTGGCAAACTCCCCGTGGCGTACCCAATATGCCAAATACCAGTAACAATGAAGGGTCTCGTTCTCCTAACTCTGAAAGAGCCTTGAATATGGCACTTTAAAAAAAAAAGTCTCAGGGCTAGGACAAAGAGACGTTTCTGGGGCCTGCTCGAGGCAATCGAAGAATAACAGGATGGTTGTGATTGATTGAATTTCATACATATTCAAAGTTTATGTTGTCATATCAAAACCACAACTAAGTAGCAGTACCTTCTCATCATAATCCTTTGGGCCCTTTTTTCCCCACATAGGCCCATCCCACCCCTAAGAAACTTCCGTTCTGTTGTTAGAAGCTCAGGGTCTATTTTCTTTGAACACTGTCTTTCTCTTTTGTTTCAATGTACACCACATATTTGTGAGATTGTATGTGATTTATCTTACCATTTATTTCACTTAGTATGATACTCTTGAGTTTCATTCATGTTGTAGCAAATGGAAAGATTTTACATCTTTTATAAGAACTGAGTAATATTCATATATATATATATTACAATTTCTTTATCCACTGATCTATCATTGGGCACTTGGGCTGTTAGCAGATCTTGGCTATCATAAATAATGCTTTTATGAACATATTTTTAATGGTTTTAGTGTTCTTTGAAGTAAGTTCCTAAAAGGGGAATTTCTGGATCATATAGAAGATCCATTTTTAATATTTTGAGAGTTCTCCATACTGTTTTAATGTTTTAATAGCACTGGAACAATTTACATGCCCACCAACAATGACTGGTTTCTTTTTTCTCCACATTCCCTACCAGCATATGTTGTTTTCCAGGCTTTTGGATACAAGATATTTTCACTAGTGTGAGGTAGCATCTCCTTTCACTTGCATTTTCTTTGATTTGTACTTCTTCGATAATGAGTGAATATGGGAAATTTGTACAAAGAAACTAAAATTGAATCGAGCATGTGCTTGAGGTTCAATTGCAAATCTTCTTTCATGAAATAGTTGCTCAGCTCTTCCTATTTTTGGATGGGATTTTTATTTTCTTGTTGGGAGTTTTGTTAGCTACTAATTTTCTAATCCTTACATGAATGGTATCTGTACCAATTATCTCTCACTAGCTTGCCGGGCTCTCGGAGAGGGGCAGAGGAATCGAACCAGGCGTGGCTGGCCAGCCAGCCACGTACAAGGCAAATGCCCTACCCACTGGAGCGGTAGCACAGTGAGTAGGGTGTTTGCCTTGCATGCGGCTGACCCGAGACAGTAACAAGTCTCACAATGGAGACATTACTGGGCCCGCTCGAGCAAATCTATGAACAATGGGAAGACAGTGCTACATGAGTTGTGTATATTTTTTCTTATTTGATAAAATGACATTTCATTTTAATTATTTTGTTTCTGTGATGATTTGGTTTGATATAATCCCATGGGTTTATTCCTGCCTCCCCCCTCCACCCACCTCACACACTTGATATTGGAATCAAATCCCTGAATATGTCACAGTTGTCAATATCATAAAATGTTTTTCCCAAGTTTTTTCTATGGTTTCATAGATTCAAAACAAATATTTAGTTATTTAATCTATTTTGAAATAACTTGTGCATAGTGCAAGGTAGCAATTGAGTTTTACTCTTTATTGTGTGGCTGTTCAGTTTTCCTAGCACAATGCCTAATGTTTGTTTTTCTTGGGATTCCTTGGGATACTCAGGGTCTTTTGTAGTTTCATATAAATTTCAGTGACCTTTGTTCTATTCATTTAAAGAATATCATTGCTGGTCCAGAGATATAGTATAGGGGTAAATCACTTGCTTTTCATGCAGCTGACTCCAGTATGATTCCTGGCACTCTGTATGGTCCTTTGATCACTGCCAGAGTGACCTCTGAGCACAGATCCAACAGTAAGTCCTGAGCACTAATGGATGTGCACCCTTCAGATAAACAGAATGTCATTAGGTCTTTGATAGGGATTCTATTGACTCTATAATGCTTTGTTTACAATATAAACCCTTCCAATACACACATACAATGAATCAATATTCTTGAAAAGAATTATTATTTTAAAATAATACAGACAAAAATTGAAATGAAACAGGGTTACTTTCTTAGAGTTACATTTATTCATTTAAATGAACAAGATTGCTATCTTACACCATACACAAAAACCTAACTCAAAATGAACCAAAGACTTGAATATAAACCTAAAATCAGAAAATTTCTGGGAGGAAGCTTAGTATATTCCATGGTATCAATTTCTTAGGTTTGACAACAGAGAAGACAATTAAATATACACAAGTTGTGCAACATCAAACTAAAAACTCTCTAAACAAAAGAAACCATCAACAAAATGAGAAGATAATGAACAGAGATAAAATATTTGTACATCATGTATCTGACTACATTTAAAATACATGAAAAAATCATAGAATTCAATAGCAAGAAAAAATCTAACTGACAATGGGGAGGAGATATGAATAAACATTTCTTCAAAGAAGATTTATAATAATGGACAACAGGAATATGAAAAGGTGCTCACCATGACTAATAATAGGGCAAATTCACATTGAAGCCATAAAGTAACACCTCAAACAATACATGATTCCTCCAGCAACACTAAGGGCGGCTCTGGAAGCCCCCATTCACTTCCCAGTGGGGTCCTGAGCCTGCCGTAGGGCACTGCAGGGTCCACTCAGCACTACATCCTCTGGCCCTTACACTCAAGCCACTGGCCTGCTAGGCCTAGATATGCTAAAGGGACCCCAGGGATGTTTAGGAGCCCCCCGTCCCCAATTCACTTGATCACTTGATACCCCATTACTCATCTATTTACTCAAGCGGGTGCCAGTAGCTTCTCCATTCATCCCTGTTGCATGCTAGCATAGCCCAGTGGCAGCTGCTTGTTTTAGGAACATGAAGAGCCTCAAACCGATCATTCAGGGTCTTGACGAAGAAGTCTGACCATCTTGTAGGTGGGTATCCACGCGATCTTTTGATGTCCCATGGAATCCAGTCAGTAATGGCTCTAGTCCAGCAGTCGTGTCTAAAACCTCATTCCATCCCCAACTAAAAATAAAATTCTAAAGAATGTATTTCCCATTTTTGAGCATATAACCAAGCATATAATTCAAAGGTTTTTTTGAATTGCATTCCTGGGTATATTTCTACATTATTTATGGGATTGTGACTGGAAATAAATTGGATGCACCTTAACTGATGAATGGAGACTGTTCATCAACATGAGAAGATGAAATCCTGGTACTTCCAACAGAGTAGACTTAGAGGAGATTTCCTTTTTTTATTGCTTTTATTGATCACCATGAGATACGCAGTTACAAGCTGTTCATGATTGGGTATCAGTCATACAATATTCCAATATCATCCCTCCCACCAGTGCACATTTGCTACCACCAATGTCCCCAGTTTTTCTTCCTGCCATCCTCTGCCAACCTACCTCTATGACAGGTACTTTCTCTCTGTCTCTGTCTCTCTGTCTCTGCTTGTCTCTCTGTCTCTGTCTCTCTGTCTCTGTCTGTCTCTCTCTATCTCTGTCTCTGTCTATCTGTCTTTCTCTCTCCCCTGAATTGTGATTTGCAATACAGGTACTGAGAGGTTATCATGTTTATCCCTTTACCTACGTTCAGCACACTGTTCTTTCTTACGTAGACTGATCATTTCTAACTATCTGTCATAGTGGTCCCTTCTCTATCTCAACTGCCTTTCCCCCCAGCACTTGAGGCAGGCTTCCAATTGTGGACCACATTCCCCCGGCCCATGTTTTAACTGACCTTGAGTATTAGTCAAGAGTAGACCTGGAGGATCTTATGCTGGGTGAAACGAGTCAGAAAGAGTAAGACAAACACTATATGATAACACGTGATTACATTTACATGTGGTATTTGGCAGAGCATCTTAAATATTTCTCACTCTTTCACCCAATAAATTTTTATGCAATCCAGGTATATAGATATATAAAATAGGTATACAAATAAAATTTTTACTGATAATAAGTCATAGAGAAATGTATTTTAAAACATTGTTATATGACTTTCCATGGGGTCATAGCCCACAGTCTAGTAAGCACAAGTATGAGGAATAGTAAAGGCAAGAGCAGGGGCTATTAGAAGTTATGTGTGGAGATAATGGGTGTGCACTTGATTTTTAATGAAGCACACCTGAAACATAATTTTATAATGAACAGTTATTTCAATAAAAATAATCACTGTCAAACACTGTTTGATAATGGTGGCAAATGTATATGCATACATATGTATAAACACAAAAGCACAAACTTGAAATAATCTTACTACACTTCAAATTTGTGTCAAACCAAATTATATTCAAACTGGATTATATTCAAGTTCACAAGCATGTTCTGACATTGACAAGGTCACAAACCATTTGCACTGGCAAAAGTTGCAAGATTACAATTGTAGATCTTTGTTCCATGATGTAATCTGGAATAAAAAAAAAAAGCAACTCAAGCAAGCATAACAGATCCCAGGGAAACCTCAAGGGGTTTAAGCACAAGCTTTGCCTGTGGGGACCTGGGATATGACCCTTGGTGCTCTACTGTCCCCTAAGCACTGCCAACAGCAACCCCCAAGCATGCAATTGAGAGTAGCCCCTAAGCACTGTCAGGTATGGCCCAAAGAAGGTAATAATAAATAAAGGAAGATTCACCAACACCTCAAAATGGAACACAATGTACTTTTTACATTCTTACCTAGGTTAACAGCAAACTAGTTATGGTTTGTGTTAAAAAAAAAAAAAAAGAGAGAGAAAGAGCCCAGAGATATAGTATAGCAGGTAGGGCATTTGCCTTGTGTGCGGGCAACCCGATTTCAGTCCCTGGCATCCGATATGGTCTCCCAAGCACCACCAGAAATAAATAAATAATTCCTGAGTGCAGAGCCAGAAGGAGTAACCTGGGAGTATCGCCAGGTGTGACCCATAAAGAAAAAAAAAAAGAGGCAGATGTCAATCTAATGCACACAGTGATTGTCAAACTTGTTGGTGATTCACATACACTGGCCCTTCTTCCCATTCAGACTAGTAATTAAATAGGTATGAGAGAACTAGTTACTAGGAGCAGTCAAATGAATAGAAACTATGCTAAAGCACATTTGCTAATAACAGCTGACTTTCATTAGTGTTGGCAATAGGCCAAACTAAAGTCGAAGTGCTTTGCAGTGAAATTCATGCCTGATTCAATCAGCTAAATCAATGTCTGAATAAATAGCAGTACTCCTGCATTTAAAAAAAAATAATAAGTGAGTAAATATCCAATCTATTGACTTTTTTCTTTGTTACTGCAAAAGGGTATCAATATTGCATAAGTACCACTGTATTGTCAATTCAAAATCATAAATTGGAAGAAAAATAATAATCCATGAACCATATTCTATAGAAAAAAAACAACTAAGTGCTATGTATGTTAAACTCATTTAAACACACAAATACATTATTTACAGAGAAGGAAACTGTGGCACAAAAATCTATTACTTAGCTTACAGAAGGTCATATCACTGATAATATAGTTCAAGCCCATTTATCTCATTCTAGAACTCACTGACAACGCATTTTGTAGCATGTGAAATGTGCCAAATTTGTCTCCCTATTCTTGAAATTATTACAGGCAGATATTGGTTGGTTGGTTGATTGGTTTATTAGTATAATAATTGGATGGTATTTCATAAGGAGTGTTTTACTCATTGTAATATAAATATCTCTCCTGTTATTCACCAAAATAATTATTTTTATGCTATACATCAGATAACATTCAAGATACTAGATAGGAAGATAAGCGAGACTTCTAAAAATGCATTCATCAAATAAATATTTCTTTCTTTCTTTTTTTTTTTGCTTTTTGGGTCACACCCAGCGATGCACAGGGTTACTCCTGACTCTGCACTCAGGAATCACCCCATCACCCCTGGCGGTGCTCAGGGGACCATATGGGATGCTGGAAATCAAACCTGGGTTGGCCATGTGCAAGGCAAATGCCCTACCCGCCATGCTATTGCTCCAGCCCCAATAAATATTTCTTTAATATCACCTATGGTCATTAGATTAGTGTCCAGTGTTTGTACACTGATGGGCCTGATGGGCCCATCTAATGGGCCTTATAGTATCATCAGGAAACAGATACTGAATACAAATATAATGCATGTGTGGAGACGTACAGCTAATAAATTTTAAAAAAAGGCCAGTCAGAGTAAGTCCAAACAGGCACAAAACCAACCTTGTATAAAATAATGAAGACACTGTTAAAGATATATGATACATCATAGGAACATGGACAGGAACAACTAATCTAGTCCAAAGCTAGAACTGTGGTAGCAGCTGGAGGACAGGAGTAGGTCAGAGAAAGTTTCCCCAAAAAATATAAAGTCTGACAATGACACGCATCGGTAGAGGAAAATGGCAAGTGTGTTTCTCATTTTTTCACACTCGCTGAAGGAGCAACTCAGCAATTTTTGGGCATTTCTTGATATGATGTTTCAACAGGAAATATCAGATTTACACTATGTTATTTCTTATTATTTTTACTATTTTTAATGTGAATGTGACTTCTATTGCCATGAAAATAAACAGTCAAAAAGAAACTCCCTAACAAATGGGGTTGTTCTCTTTCTTCTCCCTTCAGGGTGATTCTGGTGGTCCTCTAGTACAAGAAGATTCACGGCGTCTTTGGTTCCTCGTGGGGATAGTAAGCTGGGGTTATCAATGCGGTCTACCAGACAAGCCAGGCGTATACACACGAGTCACATACTACCGAGACTGGATAGCCCGGCAAACTGGCATCTAGTGCAATAAATGTACTTTTGTTGAAAAGCTGTTTCTGTCTAAATTCTCTAAGTTTTACTTCTCAGTCACAAATGGAACTGAAAGTATATCACGTTGATACCCTGTGACATAAAATGGTTTTCACAAACACTCTTTAATTGTTCTTCACTACACAGATGTCTTTTTTTTTTTCTGGGCACAGTTAAGCTAGTTTATTTTTTCTAGCCAAGCTGAAATGCTCCAGTGGGGGAACTGAGACCAAAGGAGCTGATGGCAAAGATGCCAGTGAGGCTTGTATAACTTTCCGGTTCCAAATTCAAGAGTGGATTGCGACATAAGTTTCAGTTTTATGCCTGTTCCTTATAAAGTTCCTACAACCCTAGGAACTACGGAGGAATGCAGGATCTGCAGGTGAGTGTTAGAGTTTGAAAAATCTCCATTTTGTTCTAGTCCTCAGGTTTGACTGATGCAATCCCGACCTATTGCTTTAGTAGAAACTGTTTCTCCCATATATGTTCTTTGCAGGAAAATTCCGTCTCACAGATGATTTTATGAGATTTTTTTTATCAGATGTCATAATATCAAGGATTTGAGAAGTCCCTCATTATTCACTGACTACCAACAATTGATGTGAGGTAGTAAATAGCCTTGTTCACTGGTATTCTGCCTGTGACTTACTTTACACTAACTTTATTGTGTATCCCATATATCCAGAGGAATTTATTAACTATCTTAATTAAATTACTTAAATTTTGATTTTATTAATTAAAAAGTATAAGACATTGTTTTGGCTTTTTCCTTTCCTCAGTCAGATACTTGCATAAAAATTTGAGAGCTAGGCAGTCAATCAAAAGACTAGTTTGCATATTTTACCTAGTGGTGGCAGATGTTGTATTTTCTGAGAAAACTTTATGAATGTTGCATAGAAGATGGTGATGTGCCAGGGAATATAGTAAACCAGTTAGAGGGGTAAAAACTTTTATTATACTTGTAACAACAAGGGACTGGAGCGATAACACAGTGGTAGGGCATTTGCCTTGCGTGTGGCCTGCCGGGGCCAATCCGGTTTCAATTCCTCTGCTCCTCTGAGAGCCCGGCAAGCTACCGAGAGTTTCTTGCCACCATAGCGAAGCCTGGCAAGCTACCTGGTACGTATTCGATATGACAAACACAGTAACAAGTCTCACAATGGAGATGTTACTCGAGCAAATTGTTGAACAACAGGAGGACAGTGCAGTGCAGTGTAACAACAAGTGCTTTGTGTGAGGAGAAATAAAGCAACCCTGTGAGAATGGATCAGGTTGGCAGTCAGAGGAATCTCTCAGCTGCTTTCTGAGCAAAGCACAGAAACTTGCGAAGAGAGAGACAAGAAAAATACCATTTACCTGAAATTTCTGGATACTCAGTATTTTATAGGTAGTGTAAATCCTGAAATGAAATACATGAAGTCATTGTATATTTCTAAAACAATCTTAATTACTCTGTAAGAACATTTATACATAAGAACTGACGAGCTGGGACTGGAGCGATAGCACAGCGGGTAGTGTATTTGCCTTGCATGCGACCTACCCGGATTCAATTCCCAGCATCCCATATGGTCCCCTGAGCACCACCAGAAGTAATTCCTGAGTGCATGAGCCAGGAGTAACCCCTGTGCAATGCCCGGTATGACCCAAAAAGCAAAAAAAAAAAAAAAAAAAAACCTGATGAGCTATAAACATTTCAGATTAAAACTGAAATACTAACTCTTGAACAAAAAGCACAATAAGTGATAGCACAGCAGTAGGGCGTTCGCCTTACAAGCGGCCAACATGGCCGACCCGAGTTCGATTCCTCCGCCCCTCTCGGAGAGCCCGGCAAGCAACCGAGGGTATTCAATATGCCAGACACAGTAACAATAAAGTCTCCAATGGAGACGTTACTGGGCCCGCTCGAGCAAATCGACGATCAACGGGAGGGCCTTTACCTTTACCTTTTACCTTAATAATTCCATTAAGTTTTTTTTTTTTTTTTTTGCTTTTTGGATCACATCTGGCAATGCTCAGGGGTTACTCCTGGCTTTGCACTCAGGAATTAGGCCTGGCGTTGCTCTGGGGACCATATGGGATGCTGGGAATCAAACCTGGTTCAGCTGCATGCAAGGCAAACGTCCTACTCACTGTACTATCGCTGCAGCCCCTCCATTAAGATTTATATTAAAAATAAAAATCTATGTGAAAAAATAATCTATCTCCTCCATAGAGAAGCTGAGGAAATAAGTCTACAGAACAATCTCAGGTAACTTAAAATTATATAGCACTTTTATATAACTAAATAAGAGTAATTTTAAGAAAAAAAGATCCCCAATGACAGTTTTTTTTGAGAAGTAAAGAAGACCCAGTTAGCTAAATCCAAGTCATCTTAAAAGTCAGAAAGACTTTTAGATGAGGGGGGATGGGGATGGGAGGAATACTGGGATCCATGGTGCTGGAAAATGGGCACTGGTGGAGGGATGTGTTTTTGATCATTGTATAATCGAAACCCAAGCACAAAATTTGTAAATCTACAACTGTACCTCAAGGTGTTGCACTAATAAAAAATTTTTTAAAAAGTCAGAAAGAAGGATGAGGTATTGGCTTATAAAGAGAAACTAAGAACTTTATTTCAGGGACTGGAGAGATAGTACAAAGGTTAAGTTGCTTTTCTTGCCCACAGCTGAACCTCGTCAAATCTCTAGCACCTTCGATGGTCCTCCAAATAAACAGAGGTTCTTCAAATAAACAGAGTAAACCCTGGGCACTACCAGCTGTGGCATATATCCCCTCCCCACACACATAATAAAAAAAGAAGTTTTATTTTAATAAAATTATCTTGAGAAAAAGAACTTATCTTCCCCTTTTCCTTTCTTAAACACACACACACACACACACACACACACACAAAGACAAACCGAGGAACATAAATTAAAGTCCATTAAAATTTAATGACAGAGCAATCTATATAGTATGATTCATGAAGATTACTGAATTTTTATATGATCCTCATATAACCAAAGCTTGGTTATGCATGATCATCTATGTGTCAGGGCTTCCTCCTTTTAAAAGCTAACTTAAATACCTACGTATCAGAACAATTACTTGCATTGTAATGAAAATATCTTGCTTTTATTTATGTACTTTTTATATTTTTTTCATTTAACTAATAAACTAAAGTAAACTAATGAACTGTGATTTATAGAGTTATTGACAGCTGAGGTCTAGGTATATGATATTTCAACACCAATCTCACCACCAGTGTCAACTTCCTTCCACCAATGTTCCCATATTTCCTCCCCACCACCAACACCAACCCTGGCTGCATCCCCCACCTATCAATTTGACGGGCACATACAAAGTTCGAGTAGTTGCAACTTAGATGTCATGTTTTCAGTGCTGTTAAGTCTGAGTTTTGGATATATGGCTATACCACTCACCCATATCAAGAGTACAACTGAAACCTGTTCACCCATTACTTCCTGTTCTCTTCTTCCATCCCCCCACACTTGATTTCTTTCCTTCTCTATCCTTCCCATCTCTAAACACAGGAGTCAAGGGTGATCTAGGCATTCTGATGCACTTTTTTGAAGAGACCTAAACTAAAAATATTCACTGTTAAAGAAAAGAGTAGAAAACTTAACCACAACTTGGTGAGACATACAAAAGAATCACTGCTAAGGTTAGTCAAATAAAATCCTAAATATTTTGCTAAGATTTTATGAATGTTATGATTTATGAAAGACAATCAAAACAATTAATTTAATTAGATCTCCAATGAGAGAACTGCCAACTGCACTATAAAGGCTTGGCACTTTCTGCTGCCTTATAATCAAGCTCTTTAACTGTGGCAAGCGTCAGCTCAACACTTCCTGACTGCACCCTCTACGGATGTTAAACTGGTAATTTATATAAGCCTCAAGAGGAATGCGTTCTTGTGCATAGGTATGTTTACGTGTTTGTATATGTGGGTAAGCACATGCTTTCACAAAAACAAGCATATTTTTATTCCTATATATTTGAGGATATATAAATAACTTATTTAATAGCAAATACAAAAATTCAACCATTTGTTGAAAAGACTTTTTTTTAATCAACAGGCATATTTTTATTTTAAAAATTATCATCTAGAGGGACATTCATTTATTAATTTTTTAATGTGGGAAACTAGTAGGAACTATTTTCCTGAGAATTAAGTAACTTCATGAAAGAAATTTTGACTTTATGACAGGGATAAAAGAAGGGATACTAGAAGTTTCAAGAAATTATCTTTTGTTTATATCAAGGCCAAATGTTCCAGGTAATTAAATTGTCATGAACCTAACAACAACGTTAACAACAGTCAGTAACTTTTTACCAAATTGACAAACAATTATTGATTTGAGTATATGCATAAGAGGGATAAAGGGATACCACCAGAGGTTGAGTGCTTGCTTTTTATGCACCACAAAATTGATTCCAATCCCCAGCACCACATATGATCGCCCAAGTACCGCCAGGAACAGCCTCTGAGCACTGCTGGGTGGCCCAAATATAAGATGTGTGTGTGTGTGTGTTGTGTGTATATATGCCCCAAATAGATATTTACAAAATTCAAAATTTAATCCTTTCCATTCTTAAATTATCAGATTAATATTCACTGAGAGAATAGCATGTGAGAATTAGTTGTCTTTTGAAAAAAGAGGAGACACACTTACAAATCTCGGACCTGAGCAACTTGCTGCAGAGATGGCTCTGGACTTTGCAATAGGCTGGGCCTATTTTCTGGGCCACTCCAGACGGGAGCAGGCGCCATCCCTCCACCTACCCCCTAGGAATCGTGGTGGCTTCTGTCTTCTAGAACTCAGCAAAAGCTCCAGATACGGGGTGGAAATTGTGGCAAACACCAGGCCTCATGGGACGGGGGAGAAGTAGGTTCTTCTCCTTCCCCCCACCCCAATGGGACTCTGAAATGATGCCCACGTACGGCCACTGTCTACTTAAGCTCCCACACGGCCATGATCCAGAGACA